TCAATTTGTCGAGGTTTTTCTCTTTTTTCTTTCGTATTTTTAACGTATTTTTTGGTACGCAATTATATAAAATTCGTTCGATTCTTCCTCGTTCGTGGATTCGATCGAATCGAATAGATTGGAAATACGCGAAATGCGTAAAACGAAGCTTTTATAACGAACCTTCGAATAACAATAACTTGCATATTCATATCGAGCAAAAATTAATTTGGTATTTATGATACGGAGATATGATAATTATCCGTGAAAATTCCTTAACGAGGAGCCACGATTTGTTTGAAGTGGTAATGATTATTTATCTATTAAAATTCTCATCAATTCCTACAGCAGGTTTGTTTGATTCTATTCCCCTTATTGTTGGAGAATTCGATTATATTATTCTCGGACGAAATTGATTCAATTTTCGTTAATTCGTCCCTTGTTAGACATTCGGATAAATAAACGAACCAATGATTATCTCATTCGTTTCGCCTCGTCATTAAATCTCCATTTTCATCGCGTTTTAAATCCCGTGGTATTCCCCGGCCAAGGGAAAAAGTCATTATAGAATAAATTCTATCGGATCCCGTTACATCGATCGGTTAAAATAATTAATTAGAAACGGGATTGCGATTCAATTCGGCATCATAAATTACAGACGAGTAAAATCGGGCATGGAGATAATTTCTGCGTTGCCTTTTATTCACCGACTTCCTCCCCATCCACGGGTATCGAAGAAAAATGGTCGGTGGGCTGCCAGTCAACGGCCATGTTAATTAACCGGCCATTTGCGTATTTAATATGGTCGAATTATTTAGCACACCGAAAATCCTTTCGCCAATTTTCGAATATTCGTGGAATAATTACATTATGCCGTTCTTACATTCGAGAATATTCGAGGAAAAAGGCTGCAAATTTTATCTTCCTCCTCCTCGATAACGCGTCGAAGAATCACCGTCAATCAACTGACGCGTTAATTAAAATTATTAATACTAACATTGCAACTATAGTTAGAAGATATTTAGAGGCAGTTCGGAGAAAAGCAGATATCCAAACGAAATTTAATCATAGGTATCGACAGAAGGATTATTATTTTTTCATTAAGGAATTTCTATTTTCGTGTCATAAATTTTCTTTCAATCACCAATACATCCGAATTTCTCTAAATCTTTTCTTTCCAGAAATTTCTCCAATTTATTAATCCCCTTTCGCAATATATTAGAAGTCGAATGGAAGAACATTTGCACAGAAAGATTTACACAGTTCAAATTCGGAATAAAATGTTTTCTTGAAACATGGATGATTCTTCCAAAAAGATCCATTCGAACGAAACGCGACGTACAAAAGCCACAATATTCGTCGTTGCCTTAATCATTAGGAAAAGGTTAGGTCCATTAATCCCGAGATGACTCAAAGTTCTCGATTATTCCCAGAAATTCTTCCTACAACTTCCTTCCTTCCTCCCTTCGAGGAAACCTCTGTTCCCAGATTTCGATCCTTCATCCGTGAAATGCACATTTTCGAATCGTTAATGGCGTTCAGGGAGAATGGTCGAATAAGTGGTTAGTGTCGCGCGAACGATCCCTTCGAAATTTCTCACGATGAAGTCGGAGAGAGAAAGTGGAGAGTATTGTTTGGTCGTTCTCTGGAAGAGAAACGCGAGGGTTGGCGAGATATATATGTATATGTACGAGAGGAAATTCTCAAGTTTTCATGCAGACAGCCTCCAGTGTGTCGCGGCGCTGCACCAATCACGTTGAGTGCACATTCTTCAACCTATCCTCCTGTCTCTTGTCCCCGTTATTTCTCTTCCTCTTTCAGACGTCGCCGAGACACTTGGGAAAGATGTGCCCCCGCGCACACCATCGACTTCATTTGTGTACACACGGTTACGTATTCGCAACGCGGCCTCGTATCCCCGTCGAGGATCGACACACACACATACACGTGTCTCTTTCTCTCTCTTTCGCTCTTTCTTTTGTTCTCTCACGCGCGATACGCGTACACGTAGCTTTTGCAACGATAGGATCAATCGTGGCAATCGGTGCTTCGTTTCTCCCAGGAACGATCACGTGTGCCTGTCCTCCATCGATTCCAGCTCGAATGCTATTTTGTTTCCCAACGTTATTCGCGGGAAAGTGAATGCGATCGAACCGATAAACGATAATCAGAGATCTCTCTCGCGTATATTCTTTGTTTAAAGAATATTGTTGGTTTACGTTTTTAAACGAGATTTCAATCTATCTAATAAAAAATAATTTTTATAAATTTTAATAAAATATTATAATATTTTAATTATTTTATATTATTACAAGTATGTTATCTTTTCGAGCGTTGAAATCTGTTTATATCGGAGAAAAAATTTTTTGTAATTAACGTATTATGTTATTTTGATATACAATTTTAAAAAAAGTTACACGAAAAGTCATCTATTCGATAAATAAATCGTTCCTGTATGATATCTAGGAAGAAATATTTTAATATATTACTCGAAATTATATAATTCTGTCCGAAAATTTCAGCACATTTCGCGTAAAGTAGTGAAATAATAACAAGTTATTACAAAAAAGAACAGTTAAGATTTCATTCGAATAACGAACGAAATATTGCGTTAGTAACGGCCAATTTAATCGTTTTTGCCCAACTCGTCGCATAATTAAACCTTTGACGAAGTCGGTGAACGAAGAAAGACAGAATTTTACCGGAGGCAAAAGAGGCAACTACTTTGTTAAAACACTTCCAGTCAAAATTTCATATCGGACGGGTTGCATCGTATCCGTCCCGCTCACGGCAATCTCTACCAAATATTTTGACGTTGAACATCACGTCTGAAAGTCACGTCTTATTTCCCGCTCTACAGGCTCTTAATTAATTCGCGGCCTTCCCCTTGGGCCTTCTTACGACGGTTTCCGGTAGCCGTCTTTCTCTCCTCCCCATCCTTGCTTTCGACGCCTATTTCCTTCCTCTCGTTTCATCGACCGTGAATTTTCGCCCAAGAATTCGAGACGAATTCGCCTTTCAAATAGAATTCTCTTTCTCTCACTTTTCACTCTCATTTTTCGCTTCTTCTCTCTCGAGAAAAAGAGGAAACAGAGGGGAGATCTAGTTTCTCAAGAAGAGCAACGAGTAATTCGATTAATTGAAAATCGCGAACGAGACTCGATCCAAGTGGCGATCTCGTGAATCTTGGTTACATAAAATCGAAGCGCGACGGAAGGAAGAAAATAATCTCACTCACCCCCTTTCCTTCGTGGTAGGCGCGAATCCGCTATCCCGATATCTATCCCTCACCGCAGCTCGAGGCTGCTGCCTTCGTTTATCGAAATGCAACCCTGTGTGTATCTGTAACGCACATATCGATTACTTTCTACTATCCACGCTCCATCATCGCGGATTGTACGTACGGCTTCTAATTCGATCCGGGAATCCGTCGACACGAAATCGAGAGGTGAGGGGGATGATCGAGAGCGCAGCACGTGCCCCGACGCGTTTCCAAGGACTCAGGACTGCTCCCTTGCTCGCGATTCGGTGATAAGCTATCGTTCTATCGGTAAATAGTAAACACTGATCCCTCCCCCTCCCCCTCGATTGTTCTCCCCCCTGTTCGCAAGCGTGTGAAACGTCCCCCGCGTCCGATCGGGAGTGTATCGGTATCCCTCTCCCCTTCTCCTCCACCCCAACCAAGGATCGGTGGCCAGCTCGTGCTATATTGACCGGCTGGATTTTATGCCTCCCCTCCCCTCTCCTCCCCCGAGCCAATTACCCCGAATAATTTATCGGCGAATCACAAACGTTAATGACATCGGGCGGAATTAAGCGGCGAGCTTTTCGAAAAGTGCGGCGGCGGTCGCGGTGATCGCCGCGGGAGAATACGCCCGCTGTCGCCAATTAGTATTCATGCCGCGGATAAAGTTTCCTTTTTTTTTTTCTTTTTTCCCCGTTCGAGCCGTTGCCGGCTCGATTATCAGCCGCGCACGCGGCCATTTTCGAGCGACGCCCTCCGATAACCGAGGCCGTCGTGTTCTTTTTGATTGCTTTTCGATCTCTCTCTCTCTCTCTTTCTCTATCGTCTATCTCTGTTGATGGGCCGAGTTTTCGAGATCATTTTTTTTTTTTAATCGTTTCTCGACTTCGAATAATCCGTTCTTTCAACCGTCTCCGCCATTATTCCAAATGTTCGGTTATCTCAAGCTTTATACACACGAGAGTCGTGTAGGATGGACGATCGACCCCGTCATCTTGGATGAGAACTTGGATGAGGGAGCTGCAAGAAGCTCGCAAAGGGGGAAACGATCGTTCAACGTCGTTGACAGTGTGGATGCAAAAACTGCGCCGCGGATGAGTCCCTCTCGCGCCGTTAACGCTGCAAACGTTTCACGCTGGAATTCGGAAGTGTAAGTGGCTTCGTGGAAATTCGAAGCCAGACGCCGATGCGGCTGAAGTATTAGCCGCTATTTATCAGTTAACTTTAACGTTCTTAACCGACGCTTCCCCGAGAATACCGCTTAGTCAGGGTTGGATAGGTGATGGTGGAATGCCAAAGGGAAGCTAAGAATCGAGGTTGGAAAGGAAACTTTGCCTTCGTCAGGGAGATATATCTTTTGGACTTCTTTCGTTTGACACCGCGACCGGGGCGAGGGGGAGGTTTGTTCGTTCGGGAAGTTTTAATGATTTCGCCAAGAGCAAATTGCTCCTGTATGCGAAGTTGATGGATTATCGCGAAACGAACGATTTTTCGATTTCTTTCTAATTCATTGATATCTCTGAGTGTAAGTGATTTAATTTGTAATATATATTTTACAATGGATCGCATTTT